GAAGAACCCCAATAATCCATGTATTGGTGATGTGGAGCGAGCAGAGCTACTGGGATGGTTTGAGGACGCGAGCGAGGAGTGACGCTGGATTGCTCATGTATTGGTCTGCCGGATCCTCAGTGCTTCTGCCATTTCCTATGTATTTCTATTCGGATCTCGCGCTTGCTTCATGCTGGAGTACAGAGACGACACGTTTATAGCAATAGCATTATAATGTACAATGTGAAGCTGCCCCTTTGAGCATTCCCTCATAGCAGGATGTGCAGAATGCTTGCTCGCGAAAATGTCTAGCTTATCGAGTGGGGACAACATAAACGTATATGCCACTGATACAAACGTGGAACAAGAGTACAATGACGACGATCAAGATAGGATACAACGCGAATGGCACAAAGGACTTGTGGCCACGAGTCACCACCCCGTGACCTGCGCGCGCACAGTATAAGACCACTGATCGCATCGGCATCTCAGCCACGATCTCCTCATACTCGACCACCACACTGCCGAGCACATCCTTTGACCCCCATCAAGCACCCACCTTACCCACACCGCCACAGCTCATCGACAGGTTCTCATAATGGCCACTACACTCACCATCTTCGCAACTGTGGCGTCCAGCATGCCATACCTGCCAGAATCGTCACCGGCGGCGGCCACAGACCTCGCTGTGAGCCTGGTATGTGATGCGAGTAGCACTCGCGATGTCTAGGGACTTACTCCCGGGAGCAGAGTACGAACGAGCAGCTTGCTGCTCAAATCTTCACCGCGCTGCGCCGCTTGTCGTGGCCACTGTCATCCAGTGGCACAATAGCGGTCAGCTCAGGGTTGGTAGCACCAGCGCCTGCTTCAACTGTGAGCATATCGGCGGCGGCTGTGAAGAGGCCAACTCGACCAGCTCGTCGCAAGATAACGGCTAGACCGGAGGGCGCCAGGCGGAGCAAGCGGCTGCTCGAGAAGGAGAGCCATTCCTCTGTTCAATCAAATGAGACAGAGAAAGCAGACGGTGCGAGTGTAGTCCAGTATAGCGACATGCAGTCGACTGATGGAATTCATATAACCAGGCTCGAAGCCCGATAGCAAGGCTGAGATGGAGCAGTCCGTGCTTCAACCATCAAATGGGTCCATAGGTGCCGAAGGGTGAGTCGATGTGACCTCTCTTGTTACGATTTCTGCTCGAAGAGCCCCATCGCTGATTCATTTCAATCTATCAGACAAGCCACGTCATCCGGGGGAAAATCTATCTCCACGGAGAAGACAAAAAGAAAGCGAGATGAGAACAAGGAGCATCCCATACAGCGAGGAGCTACGAAGAAGCAACGGACGTGACACCGCTCGACGTGCCAACAAAGCGCAATAAGATCTCTCAGCCGACGAGCAGCCTGATGTTTCACATTGGAGGGCATGACCTGCCGCTTCACCGCCGCCTAAACCTGTTCCAGCGTCAGCAGGCGCCATGAGCACCCACTGCCCACTGTGGCCGTTCCGCACGTTGTCTCACACCTCATTTGGAGACCATGCCCATCTTCTACCTAGTCATCTAAGCACCTCGTATGTTTGCACCGTCACTCTGTGTTCCCCATGTAACCTTCCCACTTACGCCATCCTGCAGAGCTATGCATTGTCGTATTCGATGCACAGAATCAGGAGCTTGGAGACGAAAATATGTCCTACGGGGGCATGTATACGACCATACGGCGAAGAGACTGCAGCAATATGGAGAGAAAGGATGCCTTTCGGCCCAAAGCCACGATAACGATGGAGACGGAGAGAATGTCATAACGCACCTTTGTATGACTCGCGATCCTCGATTTGTTTTGTGCGTTTCTTTCCTTCGACCCATAAGCTGCGGTCATACACAACTAGTTGTTGTTGTCGTTGAACTGGGTCCGATGTAGCGGGTACGACATCACCGCTAAATTATACCGTATACAATACAAATAGAACTGTACTTTTGCTGCTGTCTCTTCCAGGACAACATGGGGTTCCTATCAAAACTATACGCTCCTGTTCGGAGTCGAAGAACTGGAAGTCGTAAGTCAAATTACAGTACGTCTTATATACTAGCCTCATACCGTCACTTCAGCCTCTCGCTAGGCACGACGCCTGGACAGTACATGTCTATGAGTGCTTGTGCTAATTCTTATAATGCCTATGCTGCCAGGTCAAGTGTGGGTGTGCACTGTTGAGGAGTACGTATATTCGAGCGGGCTACGAACACATGTTGACGCGCCGGATGCATCTCGATCACGTCAGATCCACCCGGCTGTCTCCGGATGGCCCATAGCCAGCTTCAGTCAGGACTTCGCACTCTTCTTTCAGCACGGATAGAACACTAGCTTTCGAGTGGTATGTCCATGACACAGAGGTAGATCTCAGTTGACCTGTCCAGACTTCACCGCGCCGATGCATCAATCGCCGCCCTCACCGTGATCGTTGACGGAAAGCCGTTCATCTTCTGTTGGACGGTTTCGGAAATGTCAATCCAAGCGACTAGTATACGCTCTGTCAGTCGGTTCGTCACTTTATGACATCTGGAAAGAGTAGACAGCGATGCCGAGATCCTCAGTGTGAGATGGCATTGCACCCAGGTACGTGATACATCATCATCGCTGTCGCTGGTGCTTGAGCCAAAGATGATATGTACCGCTGCTTCGTGTATCTACGGCGAACAGGGAAGGTTCCGCGGAATATCTGGACCACGCGTGTACCTCATTTTTGACGTCTAATTATGGACCAGTGTTCTCATCTTTATTGCTGGATCGTCTCTCGCTTGAGGCTCTGCTAGGACCCGCTGCCGTGATGGCTGAGGCGAAGACCATTAGCGTCAGCTCGCTGTTGGAACAACGGTGCGACGGCGCGGCGAGCGCGTTTGTCCACGGGCGTAGCGATGCCTGTAAGGGACAATCGCGTGCGGTACGTACATCGCGCGGGGTCGTTATATACTACGATAGGGGCCTCCGGCCCCTGGCTACTCGCGCGCCCAAGCTTGCGAGCTCGTTCCTGACCACGCGGGTCTGCGCGTTTCAACACTCGCTGTATCTGCGGCGCAGTCTTAGAGACTACGCCATGAGACGTCGATCTCGTTGCTGCGCGATCGCGCTTCGACGGGACCAGCGAGATGACATCGCAAACCTTTGTGCACGACCAGTTTGTTGTCTGGTTCTGCAGCAGCCACATGCTGCGAAGCGGATTTCTACGTGCGCATACGTGAACCTCAATGACGCTCTTTGTTCACATTTCAAGTGCCACACTATAGGACTTATGACTGCTGAAATGCCGTGCTGGAATACATCGACAGCCTGCTCAGTATAAAAGATAGCCGTGCAACGCTCATCCACTCCTGCTGCGTTATGGACCTACTATGCGCTATCCGCCTGGGTGTATATGGCAGGCTCCTGACCTCTAGGAAGTGCCCCATGGTCTTTCGAGCCTGAGCATGACGTAGGTGTAGTAGCATGGGTTGTCAGCCATTCAAGATGAAGCTTAAAAAAGAGCTCAAAAGGTCACCTTTATCATCAACGACGGCTCAACTGCTGGCTACATGAACCACGATATCGTCTCAGTAATTGGGTTCCTCTTCGTCTGCTAACTATTCAGCGTATTGTGTAAAACATGGTTTTTACATGCCTGCAGTACTGCATATTCCTCCCAGACCACCACTGCTCCATGGTAACGAGTGATCGCTGTATCATAGGTTTGTTTAATGCCCGGAAATTCCATAAGTCTATCGTCTCAATGGTAATCGCCAAAACGCAGTACGAATAAGTACTCGGAGACCACGGCACGGTAGGCGCCGCCACGTGCCCATTTTCAAATTGTCCACCACTTCACCTGCCACGATGTTCTTATACCGAAACGTTCCCATCCCAGGCTCCCAATTAGGACGCAAGAACAGCGGCGAGAGGCGGCGACCATACTGCCCTGCTGCACAATGTCGGGGCACCATCAGGATATAAGACATGGCTGGGCACCCCTCGGAGATGCCCCCAGCACCTTGCTCTTTTCCAATTCACGACACGCCACTCGCCCCTCGTGGAGATGTCATACAATCCTATTACTTCCTTCACTACATATCCTCTCGACGATCCCCTCGATGTATGGGGACTTTCCTCGACCTTCGAACAGTCTCTATGTTTAGACTCATGCGCACACACCCAGGCTGGGCAGTCTGTTTCTGCTCTATGGTCGGCAGAGCCATCGGAAGCGCCTTCGTGCTTCTATGCGGAGAGCCCACTCGGTACTCGCGAGGCCCACGACTCTGTCTGGTATTCACACATTTGCTCGTGAGTTTCCTACTTTTTTTGCTGGCACTCCTCGCTAACACGGCCTTGACTTCGTTAGCACTGCACCTCATAATGGGATGCTCCTGATTCCAGGATACGACGCCGACAACACGACTGGAATCGAATGCGCTACATTTGATCCGGAGATCGACCCCATTCTACTTGCTCATCCGAGCACCTACGAGATTGCCTCCGCGCTGGGCGATCCCACTCACTCCAGGCACACTCCCGCGGCTGCGGCGAACTCGGCTCTTTCATCGTCTCCAGTGTTTCCTCCATTGCCATGTACCCCTTCCTCCTCACCAGACTCGATCACATCCTCACCAGGCAACACTGATAGCGCCAGTGAAGCTGGGTCGTCGCGTTCTCTGTCGCTGCCCATCCGCTCTTCCGTGCAGTCTCGTGAACACTGCCATCATCCCTACCGCCGCAATCGTGCAAGGTCTTCATGCTCGGTATCAGCGAGCGACTCTTCATCACCATCCCCTCGTACGGGTAGCTCCAATACCCGTCGCTCTCCACGCCATACCCGCAGACGCAATGTGCAGGTCGACGGCAAGGTCCCTGAGCCCGAGGACATGGATGAACCTGGCATGGTGAAATGCAAGTCGTGCGCTCTGGTCTTGTTGAAGACCTCGATGAAGCGGCACGTAGAGACACATGGGCTGCCAGGAAAGTGGTCATGCTGCGGAGTGCCTGTCCAGCTGGCTTCAAAGTACGGCATTCCGGCGAGTGCAGAGCCGTATGAGCACAAGGGTCGATGGATGGTTGGTGGATGCGGGACGCATTGCAGTCGGAAGGACGCACTGGTGCGTCACCTGAATAGCGAGTCGAAGGAGTGCGTGGGTGATGTGGATGTGGCGGATGCGCTGGGATGGCTCGAGGATGCGAGTCAGTAGTAAGATGATGTTCACTTCTGATCGCAGCTCTCGATATTGCTCATGTCCTGTTTCTTCTCTGTTTTGTATATATATCAATCGCAAATTCCCTGGTCAGTTTGCGTGATATTATTATTTATTCTAGAGAATTAATGTTTCGTTCATCCCTCCAGCGTACCTCTTTTTTGCTACGAACTCGTTCTCGGTAACGACACCTTCGACTGTACCCTATCGGCGTCTATCACGTTTTCTGCCGTCGCAATCCATGACATCCAGATAACAGTTTCTCATTCAAAGTAAGTCAGCGATGCAGCCATGCCGGACTTGCCCACGATTATTCTATGGCAGAACATGACACGCTTTCATGTGGAACTATTGGCAGATAATCAGTCTGGCCAAACCCACATCCAATCGTCATTCTCAGTCGCCGGTGTCTCCCAAGAGGTGCTATACTGTCGCAGTGGAGATTCGGTCATTGATTGAAATCGTGATTTCAGGGTATGACAATGCATGGTGAACCATTTTGTTGATGCAGGAGAGGCAAAGGGCTGCAGTATTAAATAGCGCATGTAACAGGAGAAATAGGTACTCCTTCCCCTCCGCCATCATCCGACACCAATCCGCGACACTCATCCTGTCAACTTGCATCTTTGCGTACCATCGTCTTGGCGCAGCGCATCTTATTCTCCCTTGTTTCACTCCAAGCAGCCCCATGGTAGAAAGCGATTCGGTGCGACGCCTTCAAGGATATGTGTTCTCCTTAGCAGACCTGGGTCACTATTTTGCCCGTTCAAACCGTGCCAGATTGAATGGATACGCCCTGCAAATCGAAATGACCTGCGTCAGTGAGAGCGCAACGCCGAAAATGGGAGTGCCTTGTACTTTGCATAGTCAGAACAATGGGGACGAAGGCTTGGCAAATTACTAGAATCATCCTGCTCGCTGTCTCTCATCAGCTTTCGAAGCACGCATTCGTCATGAGAAGCTCACTTTAAGCATTCCGGTGCCAATCTCCGCGCTTACAATTATTTATAATGAACAGGGTGATGCCCCCGCTCAATCTCTGCTCTCCCCTCTCCCTTCATTCCACTCTGCTATACCAACATGACAACTTGTACTCTCGACCTCTCTGACTTTATCGATGTATCTCAGCTCTCGTCTGAGCCTGATTCAGATTCAGATTTCCGCGCGGACTCCTTGGGAGGCCAAGTACCACTGTAGCTGTTGCCAATCTGGAGGGCATTGAGATGCCAGAATGAACCCCTGGAGTTGGTGGGTGACAGCGATGACTCGCCCAAGGTCCCAATTCTGTCTTCTATTGGCAAGTCGCATAATACTCACACTCGACCTATGTAGCCTACCGCTGCCGCCGCCTTCTCCGCTTGGGTAGACCCCGCAGAAGCATTCCTCAGCAACGTCCACACAGTTGCAAAGTCCCCATCTGCTCTTGACATCTTGTCGGGGCCAACTTCAAATGGGCCGGCTGTTGACATCGCCTCAGCAAGCCCAATCGGTTCGGGCCTCCCTGGGACAGTCGCGACACCATCTGATCGGGAAGCCAGTGAAGATACCGACTTCAAGGATGCATGCAGTCGTCACAATGCAACCAACACTTCGTCACGTGGCCTAGATACACAACCCGTATCTAGCGTCGTTGCTCCTGATTTACACGAGGTAGATCAGGAACAAACAACAACTACATACGACCATCACATCTACGACACCTCAGTCAAAAACGAGGCGGATCAAAACGACTGCTATGGGCAGGATGTCACTGAAGCTGCTGATGAGAGCGAGGCTAGCTGTGACGACAAGAATTCTATTAGCAATGTCCTGCCTTTAGCCACACCGCCTCTGGCGACCCCTCTTTCAGACAGGTCATTGTCTCAGTCTCGCCCCAGCTCGACGACGTTGCACAAAGCCCCGAAAGCAACAGTGCATCAAGTTGAATCGACGGGGGTGAATGCGAAACATTCCTTGCGGCGCAGTACTCGCAAGCGCAAGAGGATCGAGCCCGCACCCCCCATGGTGCCTGTCGTTTCCAACCACTCCATCCGCCCACCTAAACGCGCACGCTCGTCAACCAGCGTCCCAGGCAAGGGCAAGGCAACAGCAGCGGCGGTTCTCAAGCCTGCTCCAAGTCTTGTGCCGCTGAAGACCACAGACGGGCGCTATGCTTGCCCACACTGTCCTGCCAGAATCTTCCAACGCTATCACGATTGCCTGCGGCATATAGATATAAGCAAGCGATGCTTTGGATGGAATGGCATCATGTACCCTTGCCATCGCTGCGGGAGCGGATATACGAGGCGTGACGCAGTAAAGCAGCATATGGACGACAAGCCGAACTGCGCGTAGGACAGTGGTGGAAAGGCGAGCAAGAGTGGAGGCAGGTGGTTGGTCACCTGCAGGAGATTACAATGGAAATACGATTCGAGCATGTTCATACACACTGATTTATATCCTCCCCGTTGCTTCCTTGCTTCGTATTCCCGCTATGGGGATTCTGTTGCTATCTATTGAGCTCAGCCTTGTATGGCACCATCGCTGTGAGTGTGCTGTATCCACTTGGATAGCACGTACCTTTGCCTGTCCTCTTGTGTCCTAGATTCTGTAATTAAACATCGCGGTCGCCTGTTCAATCATATTGTACGATGTATATACCAACCAGAGGTCGCGCGAGGCAAAAGCCTCGTTGTCTGTACTTTGGTATGTTTTGTTATTGTCCTGTCAGAGCGTGAGTTATCCTCGTGAGCCGTGACTTGCTGAGTAAGCCATCGCCATCCACAACCTGTAGCCATCATGCCGTTCGGATGGCGCTCGGAGGTGCTCTACAAATGAAACACCTCTCAAAGATAAAATCAGAAGAAATAACGATATGTGCTCCTCTACGAGGCCATGTGAACGTGCAGGCAGCGCCGGTGGGTAGAAGGCGATGGCTGCCTCGACATGCAGTCTCCGCACAGACAGGGGTATGATAACGGAGAGACCCACACCTTTGTATTTGAAGACCGTGTGGCCTTATACACCATTCCATGTTTCACCTCGAGCTCGATCAAAATTTCTGCCTGGTTAGGACCGTACTCAACTTCTAAACGCGTTACTTCCGGACGCCCTTAATGGACGGCAGGACACTCTCTTACTTTCCTACTTGAGGCAGATACTCACCGTCAGGCGCAAAGATGCCTGGAGGATGTAGGCGGCATACCGCGTCACCAAAAGCTAGGAAATGTTGATGAGTTCCGTAAGGTTACGAACAAACGAGCGCTCAAAGACTACCGGGCGGAGCACGGCACGGCAGGCGCTGCCACGTGCCCATTTTCAAATTACCCACCACTTCACCTGCCACGATGTTCTTATACCGAAACGTTCCCATCCCAGGCTCCCAATTAGGACGCAAGAACAGTGGCGAGAGGCGGCGAGCATACTGCCCTGCTGCACAATGTCGGGGCACCATCAGGATATAAGACATGGCTGGGCACCCCTCGGGTATGCCCCCAGCACTCTGGTCTTGTCTCTTCCGCGACACGCCACTCGCCCCTCGCTGAGATGTCATACAATCCTACTACCTCCTTCACTACATATCCTCTCGACGGTTCTATTGATGCGTCTGGCATCACGCTTTTATTTGGACAGGCTATGCGCTTAGATTCAGCTTCACCCTCACAGGCCGAACAATCTGTCGGTAGCTTCTCTACTTTATGGACGGGCGCGAGCTCGTACACTGATGTCATGCGCTCCTCCTCCGACATGTACACATACTGGTATTCAGACATCGACTCGTGAGCAGTTCATCTATCAAGTTTCGTTTTCTCACCAACCTACCGTCGTCAGCAGTGTACCTTGTAGCGGGTACGATGGGATGCTCTTCGCGTCGAAACACGCGTCGGAACACGCCATGGCTGCAGCAGAATGCCTGCTCAGCCCTCCCATCGACCCAACGCTCATAGCTCATTCGAGGAGCTACGAGATCGCATCGGCGCTGGATAATTCCGCTCACGCTGCTAACTCTCCCGGCACGCTGTCGAGCGTCTCGACGTGCTCAGATGCCACTCTATCCGGGTACACGCCTTCCCCATCCCCGTACGCGACCACGTCCTCTTGGTGTAGCGACGACGAAGCTACGTGCTCTCTGTCTACAAGAGATCCATCGCCGGCTAGCACGTCTCGCAAGAACCGCAGTGTCTATTACCATCTCTCTCGCCCGTCATCATCTAGTCTCACCTCAACGTCCTCGCCATCGACTTCCCAGACGCGCAGATCCAAGGCACGGCGCTCGCCCATTCGCGTCCGCAGACGCAACGTCCAAATTGGACTCGGCGCCGCCATACCAGAACCACGGGCTACGCATGTGCCTAAATTGGTCCTGTGCACGGTCGAAGGGTGCGGGAAGGTGCTGACGAAGGGCGCGATGAGGAGGCACAAGAAGACCCACAGAAAGCAGGAGAAATGGAGGTGCTGTGGAATCCCGGTCGAGATGGCGTTCGGGTTGAGCTCAGATCGACGGATGACCGGTGGTTGCGCGAAGGTGTTCAGTCGGAAGGACGCGTTGGAGCGCCATCTGAAGAACCCAAATAATCCTTGTATTGGTGATGTGGAACGCGCGGAGCTGTTGGGATGGTTTCGGGACGCGAGTGAGGATTGACGCTGAATTGCTCGTGCATCTGCCTACCAGATCTCGGTGCTTCCACCATTTCATAAGCATTTATATTCTGGTCGTTCCGGTTCACGAAATTTGTTGTTATAACAATAGTATCACAATGTACACGCCTAAGCGTGGTCAACAATGTGAAGCTGCCGCTTGAATATTCCCCGCTCTTAGCAGGATATGCAGAATGCTTGCTCGCGAATGCGTCTGACAGATCGAGTGGGGAGACGGCCAGCATACATGGTATTTCGCCACTGAGACAGACGTAGAACTAGGGGATAATGATAACGTCCAAGATTCGATACAAAGCATACGGCACAAAGGATTCGTAGCCACGGATAGTCGCAGCCGTGACTTACGTGTGCGCTGTATAAGACCGTTGCCCGCTGCAGCATCTCAGCCACGAACTCCTCATACTGGACCACCGCACTGCGGAGTACATTCTCCAATTTCTACCAAACATCCACCTTACCCACACCGCCACAACTCATCAACAGTCTTCACAATGGCTACCAAACGTGTCCAACACGCCGTGACTGACGGCAGCTACAGAGTTTTTAGCAGGCTTAGTATGTGATGCGAGTAATCTCGAGATGCCTATGAGGCTGATATACGAGACAGAATGTGGATGAGCAGCTTGCTGCTCAAAGCCTGGTTGCGATGCAGGGAGTGGCGCGCCGACTGCCATCGAGTGGCACAATGGCAGGCAACTCAAGGCTTGCAGCACTAAATGACACTATAACGGTGGACTTTTTGTCCACAATTGTGAAGATTCTCAGCCGACCAGCTGGGCGCAAAATCACGCCAAGACAGGAGGGCACTCGGCGCAGCCAACGATCGCTCGAGAAAGAAAAGCTTACCCCTGTCCCGTCGAATGAACGTCAGAGAGAAGACGGTACGAGTGGCTTCAGATAGCCAGCCAAATCGGCATCACCATCTTCACATTCGTCGTGCAGATGCAGATACCTAACAATCTACACGTGCCTTCAGCGCAATATAGCATCACGCAATGGACTAATGCTAACCACAGCAACAGTGTCAAAGCCTGACAGTAAGGCTGAGACGGAGCAGTCTGTGCTGCAGCCATCGAATGGGTCCGTAGGCGGTGAGGGGTGAGCGTCCTCTTCTGCTCGAAGAGCCCTATCGTTGATCAGCGTTAATTTGTCAGGCAACCCACTGCATACGAGGAGAAAACTATCACCACAGAGAAGACGAAGAGAAAACGGGATGAGAACGAGGAAAATCTAATACAGCGAGGGCCAGCGAAGGTGGAACGGACGTGACGCGGCTCGATACGCCAAAAAAGCCGCAATGACATCGCTCAGCCAAAGAGCAGCCCGACAAGGCCTGACGTGCAACACTGTGGCCCATCTCGACCTAGTCGTATCCCCTCTCGTTGGGCGACTAGCCCGTCATCTAAGCAGCTCGTATGTTTGCACCGTCACTTGGTGTTCCTCATGCAACCCTCACACTTACGCCATTCTGCCGAGCTATGCATCGTCTTCGACACGCAAACATAGGGGCTTGGAGAGATAACCGTCTCAGGGGTGCATGTCTACGATCATACATCGCAGAGACTGCACAAATATGGAGGGAAAGGATGCTTTTTGGTCCAAAGCGACAACAAAGATAGAGACAAAAGGAGTGGAGTAGCGCACCTTGCTATGATGCGCAGTCTTCGACATTTTCTGTGTCTCGTCTCTTTAGCACATAAGCCCCAACCGTACACAGCTGGTTGGTTATTGCTGTTTGACTAGGGTCCGACGTCGCGGGAAGGACGCCGCAGACAACGATCCTGTATAAGACAGAACTAAAGCTGTGCTGTCGTTGCATTTGTCTCTCAGGATGTAGCGATCCGTACCGTGTGGGATTCTCGGTGTGCTATACCCCCTTCTTCCGAGGCAAAGATGTCCTAAGTCGAATACCAGTACGTTCGATGTACTGGCCTCATACCGTCACTTGAGACTTCGGCCTCCCGCCAGGCATGATGCCTGCACAGTATATACCTGTGAGTAATTGTGGTATCACTAAGGCTTATAGTGCCTATGCTGCCAGGTCAAGCTTCAAGTGGGAGCGCGCACTGTGAAGCGGGGAACATACGCGCGCGCTTCGAGAAATTTGTCTCGATCGCGTCAGTATTACTCGGCTGTCTCCGGATGGCCTCTGGACATGTTGTGGAGTGGCTGTTGAGCTGGCGTCTGAGTACGGCATCGCGCCTAGTGCAGAGCCGGGGCGAAGTACGGCGCGGCAGAGGCGCCGATCTCACCATTCACCGTCATGAGACTGCAGAGCGTCCTGCTCTCTGTATGCTGGAGCAGCAGCACATATATTTACTCAGCTGTTATACAGTATGCCTATTCCACTATGACTAGGTGTGATTGTTGTAGCTATTGGTATTGTCATTTGTACGTAGGTGCGATACTAATATGTTCCTCGTTAGGACGCCATATGGGCGCTTGTATGCGATAGCCTCTCGACTCTTTACCACTATGATGACTTGCCCCATGTTTCTCCTTGCTGGCTTTCCCAAAATACGAGCTTGGAATACTTTCTTGAAAATCGAGGGCAACAACGCGTCACCGATGGCTGATGCGCTTACCCGACAGATTCCGCACTTGAAAGGCTTGGTCTCTGCGCCATCGGGCATCGTTCAGGCTCAGCAATCTGGATCGTGGCCTATGTTGTCATACAAAGCGGTCATGTTGCTTCATACAGTCCCCGCGCGCGCCAACATGTTTTTCAAGACACGCATTCTGCATCCCGCCGTCTGTATCATGGCGGCGTATTACATTGGGAGGCGCACTCTCTGCACCCGACCAAGGCAGCTGGACTCAATCACTCTTGAATCATCCCGTGTGACACGGGTCACAAAATTCCCTAGCCTACATGACTAGTGTGCCAGGTATAAGTAATATCGGACATGTGGCGACTGATGTGGCGTTCATCCAAGTTACGTATCGTAATCAAAGGGCGCATCGAGGACATCAACCTTACCAAAACAAAGCCGAACTCCACGGCTGCAGCAGGAGCCCGACTCTTCAGGCACCTCAAGAACGGCGTTCTTCAGCGGTTCCTAGTGGAACATAACGGTAATGACGCCATCACTACTCAATTCGGAGATTGTCCTTGTTCTCGCCACGGGTCGTTAAAGGAACAAAGAGTAGTATCTGGAAACTCGGTGGCTTCCTGGCGTCTTCCGCTCCCCTCGATTACGGTGGCTCGTTGTTCTCCAGTGTGGCCGGTTCGTAATATGGGTATATAACAGAGGCTGATAGCCTCCAACACCGTCAACTTCTCTTCGTTCCATATTCCTCGGTCAGTCTTTATGAGAACGATGGACCCCCCACCATCCTTTTCGGATACCAACCCTCGTCCGCCCCCTGGTCCTCCAGTGCTGGGGCGAAGCTGGACTGGAACAATGTACGCTGTTAAATCACTTCTTCGGTTGTAGCTAACCATGAAATCAGAGCGGATTGGGTAGACAATCATTTTCCGGGCCGCAATCGCTCACCCACCCCATACTACCACCTCCCCTCGTGCGTGCCTACCATTATTCTCGATGGCCGCTCCGAAGCTCAATTTTGTCATTAGGCCTCCTCTTACTGAATGGCCGGTAGAAACTCCGTGGTCGGCGGCACCCCACACCCTCCAGACAGAGTTCCCTTCTAGTCCGTTGCCTGCGCGACCTGTAACGCCTGATTCCTCTCCTCAAATACCTAAGAAGGAACGAGCACGACAGCCAAAGCCCCGCGGGATCGCGTCACCCTCATCCAGGAAGGCTCCCAGGACTCCCAGATCGGGCGGAAAACCATCTTCTGCACGGAAAGGTAGCCAGCCACAAAATCCAACATTAGCCGGTCCGTCGGCGCCGAGGCGGAGGGCCGTGACGATGCCCTCTTCAGCAGAGACCCGCCAACTGATGTCTCGACCTCTCATTCCGCAGTTGAGGCCTGGACAACAGTGCAAGTCTGCGCGCCTCAAAGAGAAAGCGGCGCGTCTTCCGTCAGCCACTCAAGAAGCCGTATCTCCGACAAAAAAGAGCAAGGGTAGGAAACACTAGGTATGCTGACATGGCGAACGTTGTACTCCCTTGGTATCACGCCCGATACGGTTCGCTTGTTGGACAACATTGAATTCCCTTTTTTCATCATCTACTACATCCTGCCTTTCTTTGTTTTAATCGTTCCAACTTGATGGCTGCGGGTCGTTATGGTCCACTCTCTTTAATTTCATGAGCAATAGTATATTATTTCATGGCTAATCTCCTGCAGAGTACCAGTCGCCACAGCATAGTGCTAACCGCCATGATATCATAGACCGTTCTTTCTGCAGTCATTGGTCAATCGTCAGGCTGAAGTCGAACAACCCGGCCCACGGAAAAACATCTCGTTCGCCTATACTTCTTGCAGCAACGATCGACTTCGTCAAAATGCCAAGGACGGCCTCCTCGGCCAGGAATGAAATGCAACAGAGCATGGAGATGCCCATGAACGGCAGGTCCATAACTCTGTGATGCGGGAGTTAGTTAAAGCGAGATAGATAATTGAACTTGCTACGCATGTTGGAACAACCGGTGCGACGGCGCGGCGAGCGCGTTTGTCCACGAGCTAGCGATGCCCGTAAGGGACAATCGCGTGCGGTACGTACATCGCGCGGGGTCGTTATATACTATGATAGGGGCCTCCGGCCCCCGGCTACTCGCGCACCCGAGCTTGCGAGCTCGTTCCTGACCGCGTGCTTCAACAACGCACAGAACAGACCGCGCTATATGAAGTCGCATCGTTGGGCAAATGCACCTGCCTGAATGAGAAGTTAATGTTTCGCACACATATGAAACGGCTGCGCGCACTCGCCACAGCTGGCCCATGGTGGACGAAATGAACCAAATGGGTCTGGTCACTCCCTAGTATGCGCCACCCACACTTTGTGGTACAAGATCTGACAAGATGATATCTGTCAGTGCCAGGATACCCTGTGGGCCAACGCATCACGCAGCTCGCAAACAGACACGACAAATGCGTAACTTAATAATGAGACGACCGCTACATAACGCGACCAGCAATGACCATGGCCATACTCTGTGCTCCGCACAACGCAATACTAAACAAGGAAGCTGTATGGAACGACAATTGGAGATGTTTGCAAGGCTCTCGGGACGGCAGCAGGAAGGCCGTTCCCACAGGTGTCTATGCGGACCCCGCCCCAGCGATGTAGTCACCATAGGAGTGTTTCACATTGGCTAGATGAGCCGCGGTTACCGCGCCCTGTGTACTCGTCCTATCAACAAGAGTAAAACTAAACGGATGCGCTATACATACCGTAGCAAGCGCCGCAAGGAAGGTGAGTATAATTATGGAGAGCGTTGACTTCGGGAACAATTGAGAGTCGAAACTCGTGCTGCCGCAGATTGCTCATGTTCCGCGCTATAGTTGTACGTTGTCGTCTTGACACTCGATAACGGCGATACCTACACTAACAGCATCGAACAATTCTGCAACAGGAGCTTTGAGCCATTCGGTAGGACTAACGTGTGTTGCGCGGTAGACCCCCTCATTTGAAGGCGACTGCGCCCAAGTTTCAGTCACCAGACCTCAGAAGCCATTCATAGGCGCTCTTTGGGTGCTCAGTATGATGTTAAGTCGTGTATTGCCCTGCATCTGCCATATGATACCGCGCAGCGGTATCGGCATGTATGTTATGAAATATATACCAACGTAAGCGGAAAGCTGAAGTCGTAAATGGTGGACATCACGGATGTGAATGAAACATGATCTTACCTGATAGACTGCATCCTGCCGACAAAATGTAAAAGAAAGTGGCTGTCACCTTCCGCGATAATCTCGTCAAGGGGAAGACATTGTTTCACATCATCTGCAACCTGTCGCAAGATAGGTTCATGAATATACCGCCTTGAGAGTGGTGAACCTCAATTCGACAAATTGAAACATTCTGTGATGCAAACCACTTGAAATTAGGGTTAGGCTTGATTGACAGATAGAACGCACACACCACCGCCTGCTTTCGTTCTACAGTACCAGTAGCGCAATATCAGCGTCTCTTGTATCTAGCGATGAGACCAGAACTATCTATCTCATGCCAATCGGTCATCTCTAGGGCGCCCGTCAGCTCCTTTGAGCCACGCACGCGTTATGTTGAGTGCGACTGATCGCGACCCCGGATGACCTCCAAAGTCGTGACATGTTGCAAGCTCTGCCTCGAGAAGTATATGTCCTGAGCGACCCTTACTGATCATTGAACATCTGGAGCTATATTGTGGTAGACCGACGATAGCCTCACCATGATCACAGCTATCAGCACCACCGAGTTGATCCGAACTTCTAAATTGCCATAGAGTTCAATTGCACATCCCATGGGGACCTGATAAAGCATCTGAAAATGTCTTGAGTCACAGCATCGTGATCAAAGTCATTGATACAATAGATCGATCTCCGCTTCACACACCCAGGACCAGGATAACCGCCTGGAGCATGAGGTTCACATCGCATAGGATCGTCTGGGGCAGGCATTTTTAAGCAGTAATGCATGTGTTCCGTGTTCCGCTGTGTGCTCACCATATCGCAGACCCGCGCCAGACAGTGCACCTGGTGAAACACCACGAGAGCTGATGGGCCGTAGGGGACACCGACACTGAGGCGCCCACCTCCTGGCGGGCAAACAGACCCCTACCCAGCTGCGGCTTCGGAGATGTATATGTGGCAGTCTCGGGCGTGAGGGATACAGCATCACGCTCGAAGAGGCAACAGATAGGGTATTCGTCTTCGGCAAGGGCTGACAGGATTACGGGGATCAGCGTTGATCCAAAAGCGAGAAGGAGAGTGCTCACTTTGCTCTGTAAGAGCCTTCCGCCGTGCATGGCGTGAATTGAGCGTTGTGACAAGTAAACTGATGAGACTCGTGAGGTACAACACCCTGGTATGGTGAGTCACACTGCAGTACATTCACGCTGACGGAACCAAGATGTAGGTGACAGGCTTGTCGTCACTCGCGCGCAAAGACGCTTGACAGATGTACGTTGATGGGCTGCGCTTAGGTGATCGGGTCTTGCATGAATGGAGTATTGTCGTACGAGAACGTCTCCTGACAGACTGAGGAAGATCAGTCTCCACCTAGGAAATGAATCGTTATGACTGACAGATAGAACAAGTGTCAGAAGGCAGCGTCAAGTGCATCTAAGACGCGCAGTCTACGCGCACACCATCGGAGCACCAGCGGCAATGATCTGCGTATAACAAGGTGATCCTTGCGGAGTGTACAGACTGCTCAGCTTCAGTTACGACAAAGAGATCACAACAGGCGTACCATTTGCGCCATTTCCTGTACAGTCATAGCAGCCACGTCCGTCACACCGGTGATTGTTGCTCCTGTTGACCTTGATAGGCCTTCATCTTTGCATCTATAGGCGAGCGCGAGCGCTGAGGCGCATCACAGGATCGGCTGCAGCTGCAGAGTTCCCGGACGACGCTGGATGGTTCACTGCGAGCCCTGCACTTCTCTGTTCAGAAGTCCAAGGGCGAAGATTGCGGGCGCTCCTCTCTGAATCGGGAAACGCGCGCTTGCCACGACTTTCTAACTCTACAGGTCGATTTACTGTAGCATCCTTACAACGGCTTTGAGGCGAGACCAATCTTCAGAATGTGATTTCATGTCGTTGGTCTCGATGTATTACGCTCTTGCTAGGAGTGACGACGGTATTGATACCTGAAGAACTAAACCTGCGGTATGTACATAACTATGACCCGCGTGCATCAGCCTCGTCCTGCCGGTATACCCCGATCTTAGCTACTATTGGGAGGCGAAATGCCATGATAAGCTTGGAGACAATCAAGTTCTGGCCAAGCAGAAGCGCTCCATTTTGGAAAGCCTTGAGGGTACTGCAATGCAAGCATTATGCATCCCTCACTTTGCTCGAGTCCCTCATGACGTTCTCCGGGGCTGACAGTACTACTTAGAACACTGACATCGTACTATATCTGATGCAGTACAAAGGTGTGACTCATTCGTTTAACTGATACCAGCGGCGAGCGCAAGAGCGGATAAGTGTCGATCCTTCGTGTGCGTTCGATATTGCCAGACCGTGACTGTTTCCCATTCAGCATCTCCTCTGCCAGATGTGACACATTCGAACCTCGACAATGTACAGGACCACCTGAAGGAACCTATTGCAATATTTTGGTTATAATCAGTAAATACATCGGCATACACTTAGAGCAAGTTACGATCCTGATCTGTCTTTCCCTCGCGACAATCAATATCATCAGGGGGCGAGCGTCGAAATTCAAATATTATGTGTATCTTCTAACAATATGTGATCAAGGTAACATCTTTCTCAGGGAGCATGTTCATCTATATGTATTTTCTTCTACATTGACAGGTGCGGTATCCGTGAGAGTACTTCGTACGTGGTGATGATTGCCTAGTTACGCATAAATAGGTATGCGCACGAGGAGATCTTATTATGGTCCTGCCTTCTATCTTCAGCTCATTTAGCTATGCCTGCATTGGCAGAAGATCTTTCGGGGAGCCTGCTGAGCACATTCTGCATTGCAATATTGTAAATGACCCTCTGTACACGAATGTATCAGTTGGCTGATATCCTTGACCACCATCCAGCTTATATGGCACCGCGACCTCTCAGATCTACAATTATTGGCAGAACTTCCCGTATGATTACAAGCTGCACCGTTGGACTGTTGGAGTTGTATGGTTAGTGGTGTTAAATTTTGTTTTCGCTGGAACTTCCAACCACTTCACAGGCTTATCGATACAATTCACACTGTGCTCTGTGTTATCGCCATATACTGCTATATAATTATTGACCATGGGGATTTAGAACGCATGATCCATATAGTATGGTCTGTATAGCTTTATTCTTGCTCCATCACCCAGAACTTTACTCTGTCTGCCTTCTGGAGTCTGGCCGTAGGTTAAGCCGTATTCTCCTGATTTTGGTGGCTAAATCACGCTCATACAGGCTGCAGTCGCGACTGAGGTCCATGACCATGCACCTGAATCCTCTTGAGAGTTACTCACAAGTAGTGCTTCATAGGTGATGCTTGCGGGGATTGTTCAAAGGTGTTTTGAATCACAATAGCAGATTCAAACCGAAATTCATCCGGACTATGGCAGTCTCTACATTCGACGAGTTTGGATTTGTACGTCTATCCGTGCTTGGCATTTTGACCTATTTCCGACTGACATGCGGAAGACAGTAAGTCAGAAAAAGGTGACATTATGCATGATTATGGTATGTTAGTCCTGATACATAATCTGAAACATTCTTAAATGAAGAGCAGGGTGTAGGCCTGCTTGCTCATATAGGTGTGTACATGACGGCAGATAAGACCATTGGTTGTATACACCTTGAGCCTCAGGACTTGGTTACGGTAAATTCGCTATTTTGATCTCAAATGTAGCACAACTGACGATGGTGAGCATAGCCACAGTGATGTTCATGCAAGTGCCTGAACATCTCCCAGAAAAGATGTACCTGAATTACACAATGTAGGTTCAAATTCGACATTATTACACAGTTTCGACAAAATCCCAGTCCAGTCGTGAGTCCATGGCCGTCTTGGTGGTGACCACTCTCCATACCCTCCTTCAATGCAGATAACTGTGAGCTGCGGCTTGAGCTCCGCTGCCGCTATCGATCTTTTACTCGCTATTACGCTGGTCTACTATAGACTGAAGACGCCTAGACGCGCGCATGAGTAAGTGTCACTGCATATTGTACTGCCGAGTTCCAAAACTGTGATGCATAGGAAATTGCATGTGGTCGAAGCCCTCCAGTATTATTTAGTCAACACTAGGTTAAAACAATGTGCGTGCTTGCTTCTGTGTAGGGAACCTGCTCGTTTCATACTGGAACACAAGGCTCGTCTCACTAACTGAAACATTTATCTTTCCGTTCTATTCCTTGTATTACTAGCGCCCATACTGGCGCCTGTCTCAGCGCTCACCCGCAGGTTGAACATTATGTAGCTTACATAATGGGGTCCGTGCGCACTTCGTGCCTGGTATCATACCACTACATTTCTTTCTTTACTAACACGACCACATAGACACAATGGTCCGTGCGCAGTCGGTACTTGTATAAGTAGTTGTACCATTAGTCGGCCGAACTCTAAGTTCGACCTGGTTATTCATTCAAGTCTCTGCTCCTCTTCGCTTGGGGTAGTGGTCATTCTCGACCTCCTCGCTCGATCTTCAGGACGACGCACTGTCCATAAGTCCTCGCTCGTCGTCTACGAGTCAGGCATCGATATAGGAGTATAGACCGTTGTATCAAAAGGTCAAACTTTCTAAGCTACGTTCCTAGTCTCACCTAGTCGAACAACTCATCCACCATCACGTCGAACAACGCAGTAAACCCGGTTCCCCTGGGACTACCAGCCCTCGCAGGATCTCCCCTTCTTCAGTATGACCGAGCAGACCGTTGCTTCGTCACCACTACAAGAAGAACTCCCATCTATCCTCGAGGCGGCTCCTGGGTTCGCGCAGAAGGTTCCAACCCGCAGATCGTCACCCATCAACAGCTTGTCAGCTATTACCAGAGACACCCTCCCGCTCACCCAGAAGACGTATTCGCCACCCTACGAATCAGCGTTGAGCCAGCACAAATAACAGAGAACCTACAGTCACCTGTTAATGAACAACCGTTCGAACTCCCGGACGTTCAGTACGTTCCCATCGAGGCTCCAGACACCGAACCACCACCTGTTTCATTTGCACCAACCAACGCACCGGTTGAACCTCCAATGACGACGTTCACTCAAGCAGACATCGATCAGCGCATCGCGGCTGTCCTCGATACATACCGACTTCAACAATCAACCGCCAATCGACCCCTCCGCCTCGACATCCCCGCTCCGGAACCCTTCAGCGGAAAGGCAGAGGATCTTAGACGCTTCCTTCAATGCGTCCTTTCCTACTTCGTCGCCACCAACAACACCAGACTTAGCGATGAAGCAAAGATCGCCTTCACTGTAGCGTTGATGAGGAAGGACCTAGGGAAGACGTGGGCGGACGCATACTACGAGAAGTCGGCAGGAGGAGTCCAGGTCTATCCCGATTGGGCAGCTTTCGCCACCGCCCTTGAGGAGGCGTTTCCTGAGCACGGAACACGAATCAAGGCGCACCAAATCCTGATGAAGCTGCCCGAACGACAGAAGAACAAGAAGACGGTGCTCTCCCTTGGAAACTACGTCACCCGCTTCGAGCAGCTAGCGTCGAAAGCCCAGCTCAAGGACGCCGAAGTCAATGGCGTCAACTGCACCGAGAACGACTATCACACTCTCCACGCCAACTTCGTCAAGGGACTTCCGAAGGAGCTCTACGTCTCTCTCGCAACTAGGGTCGCTAGAGACCGACCCAACACCATGAAAGCCTGGTACGACGAAGTCCGAAACGCCGACGCCGCCGAACAAGGGGCCCTCACCGTCACAGACACCAGGGACTACGGCGAGCCAATGGATATCGACGCCGCTGCAGTCGCGGCAACCTTTGCCTCCACATCGGGAGGAAGGAAGTGGGAACTAGGAGCCGTTCTCAATGAGGCCGACCGGAAGCTCCACAGGGACAGAAACCTGTGCTTCTACTGCCACATCAAGGGCCACAGCACCAAGGATTGCCGCAAGAAAGCAGCCGCATGACAAGGGGGTGGGAGGCCGAACCAGGGAGGATCTGGGAAGGACAACTTCCATGCCAGAATCAAGGCACTCTCCGCCGACGAGAAGCGGGAGCTGTATGAAGAACTTATGATGGAGGATTTTTGAAGGGGCAGGGTGAGCCGACGCAACCACTGCCCGTATCCGTTTCACTGTCCCATGTAATTCTAGTAGTCCGAAATGAACG